AGACTCCTTTTGTCACTGATGAAGAAATGGAGAACCAAGAATGACAACATGGCAATAATAGGAAACATTTATTGAGTACTTTCTACAGGGCAGGCTCTGCTCCAAGCACTTTTCATGTAACATCTCACTTGGTCCTCACAGTAACTCTATAAAGTTGAACTGCTACCATCCTCATCTCATAGGAGAGGAAACCGAGGCACAGAGGAGTTAAGTAACTTGCCCAAAGTCACACAGTATGTGATGAAGCTAGGATTCGAACCCAGGAAATCTAGATTCTGATCCAATGCTTTGAGTATTACACAGTACCACTTCTCACAAGCACTGGAGATCACTGGAGCTTTATTTTTATAATAAATAAGAGCTGGTGCACGTGTGTGTGTGTGTGTGTGTGACTTTCTCAACCAGATAGGGCAGCATGTCATAATCCATGGAAAACATCAGAAATAAGGCAGTGGTTTTCATTAGAGGAAAGTCATCAAAGTTTAGGAAATCAATCAGAAAAAATAGTTTAGTAGGCATATATATCTTCTCTAGCAATTTAAAGAAAATTAGGAAAAGAAGTTCTCAAACCCTTTCTGCCAGTTCCCAGAGCCTTATAAACTGTTTCAACTTTAAAGAAAACGACCACTTGGTTATTTATTGATTCTTATGCCACAGGCAGTACAATCATCCTACTGGCTGGCCTGTGATCTCCCAGAGCAAGACCTCCTGAAGATGAAACAAATCAGTGCCTATGTTAGGGTCCACCACCATCTTGGCCTCTCACCAGCAGGGAAGCTTTGAATCCAGAGAAACCGAAAAGCTGGAGTGTTTTATTCTAGTGCATTTTTTTCATGAGTGAGTGGCCATCCACAGCTCAGTGTTTTATGCAAGAGACACTCATGGCTTGCTTGTTGATTAACCAATTTGGATGTTTGTTGAGCACTATGTATGAGCCACTGTATTAGGTGCTGGAGATATTTGGTGGGCATCTGGAAACACAAAATACTGAGCTGATGCAGAAGGTTCTCCCTTTTGCTACAAACATAGAAATGCTGGACAGAATATAATAAGGCCAAATTTTAATGATACCTAACTGAGTTCAGAAAATTTCTAGATGCCAGAAATGGGGAGGAAAATCTAACCAGACCAATGAGCAGGAACTGGTACATGGTGACCTGTCTGGACTGTGGACCAAGACATGGGCCCCAGGGGCTAGAGGTGGAGATTATAAAGCTATGCAGGGAGAGAGGGGGAGGTCTTGAGCTTGTGGGAGGTAAGATGCAGGAAGACATCCCTGCATCAAGCTGGACATTTGAGGGCTGCCCTGTTTATGAACAGGGCACAAGAAAACTCCATCAATCACCTGGGAAGGTAGCAAGGAAGCTTGCCCACTGTCCAGACACTTGAGTAAAATTCACCTTCAAGAAGTGGAAGCCCTAGCCTCTCCCATGTATGAGTGCAGAATCCATATGTATACTGGCCATGTGGTGGGGAATTCCAAACTGGTAAATGCCATAAAAACTCAGATGGACAAGACGAAGATACAGTGTCACCCTAAGGAGACACCACAACTTGATCACAGAGGACTTCTGCTAGAAAAAAAGAAAACCACCACTAGAGATGAGCAAACAATCTAAAACCAAGTGAGGAAACTAGTGATGGGGGAAGAGAGAGCAAGTTCAATTCAAAGGGACATTAGTCCTTAAGACTCAGAGATAATAGAATCATCCAAAGGAGGCAAGTAGACATGTTTAAAGCTGAACAGATAAAAGTAACCATAATGAAACAGTAGAGTGAGTCTGAATAGAGGCAGTGAAGGTCAGCGGGTGCTGCCTTCAGGGGACACCAAGCCTTCTTGGGAGAGGGGAGGAAACAGCAGTGACGCCTGGGGTGATTCAGAAAATGGCACGTTCGAGAACTGTCACAGTCTAATGTCTGCATTTCCCCAGTGATGGGGAGATGCTCTTAAAGAAACTTTCTAATTTTTAAAAGTTACTTACGTACCTGCTTTATCTCTGGCATGGAGATAAAATGGTCCTATGTTATTTTCTTTATGCTTTTCTTTGGGGTCTCAGCTTAATGGTCACTTCTTAGGAAGACCTTCCCTGACCACCTTATTGAAACCGTCCCTCTCTACCACTGTTCTCAATGTTACCCCTTGTTTCTTTTCACTTATAATTTCCAATTACTTAATTGTTTTCTTTGTCTCCCCTGTTAGAATGTAGACTCCATGAAGGCAGGAAATGAACTGACGGCATCATCTCTAATGACTGGCATTTAGCAGGTGTTCAATAAATTTATTTAATAAAAAAATTAATACACTTAATTGGGGGTGTGGCACAACCTTGTTCATATTCTATAAAGTGTCCCTGGGGACAGTGTGAATAACAAAGGAGAGGACTGGAGGAGGGCGATCAGGAGGCTAGTGCAAGGTTTTAGGCAAAAGAAGAAGATGGCTTAGACTAGGCAGTGCTGACGGGGGAGCTGACTGGATTAACTTCACGGGGAAGGCAGAAGTTGGGGTGGGGGTAGAATCAAGAATGATGCCTAGGTTTCTAGTAAGAATAACACGGTGACTGGGACACCAGATTAGGGCTAGCAGCCAGGAGAAAACCAAACACTCAGTACTGGATAAAGTACTTGATGAAGTGGAAATGGCCTTAGTATAACATCTTCATCACAAGGAGTACACATCTGCTCGCTTCCTGTTCCCGGCTCTACCTACATGTGTGACCCACCATTTCCTAATGCTGCCACCTGCCTTGCGTTACCCATTTGTGACCTGCCAGGCTAACGCACAGTCCCCACCAGAGCACATCTGCCTCTGTCTCCCTGCTGAGAAGTGTGTCCTGCACCCTTCCCCCACTCTCTCCAGCCACCAATGTCATTATTGCCAATAATGTTGTTGTAATTTTTTATTAATTTTCTTTTGTAGTTATATTAACATTAAAATTTATACTCAATGATATTATTACAATTTTCCACTACTAATGGGATGATTAGTTTGTTCATTTGTTTAAAAGCCATTAGCATAAGATTTACTTCCAACAATATCTACTGTGATTTTTAATGCCCTTGAAACTCGCAGTGAGCGCTAAGTCTATAATAAGAGGGTGCTGGTAAGCATACAAATGTCTTTCTTGGGGAAAGAGGGCTTTTTATTTTCATCCTGGTTGGACTCAGGTTCTCTGATAGAGTATTGGTAGGATATTAAGTATTAAAGGCTGCGAACCCTGTGTTAGTGTGTAGATGTGTTCAAACAGGTCCCCGGTTATGCCGAGGATGTTAATATGCTAGGAGGATTCACATTCCTGCTCCTTTTTATGTTGCTTCTTATCTGACTTACATAAAAATATAATAAAGTGGGTGCTTGCAGGAATGACAGTTAGAACCATGAAATGCTTGGAAGTGAAGGGGCCCCGAAGTCACTCTACCTAACAGACTTTCCAAGGAGTTGGGGAGTTCGACGCACAGTTCGCGGAGCTCTGGAAACAGGGCTTAGTCCGGAGGATGGCGAGAGGAGTGTCTCTTTTGGGCAGCTGTGTGGGGCACACCTCTCAGGATAGCCGACAAGTGAGACTGGCATTATTATAAAGGTGCCCTTGCCCTGGATCTAATTTATTTGCAAACTTTAGTATTTCAACCATTATTGGTAACAAATGGTGTCCACCATACCACACAACAGGATTTGACAAGCCAGTGTATCATAATTCCAAGCTTGAGAACAAAAATATGGACCCTCAGGATCCCCAAACAAGGGACTTTCGCCACCCCACCCCCATGACGAGCTGAACAGACTCGGACCAGTAAGAGCCCGCCATGACTTTGCAGATGTGCGTGGCTGTGCCATAGCCTGAATGAGTGATGCCAGTTATGAGGCACGACAGCCCGAATCAGAGAAACACTAAGTAGTTGGTGAGATAGACTTGTGATGAGTAATATGCAATCTTAAAACATCTGGTTAAACATTTTTTCCCAAAAATGATGAAAAGACTTTAAATCAAATCAATAAGAAACATAAGTTGATTGCTGGGCATTTTTGGACTTTGGTCCAAAAGGATTTCTCAGGGGATTATAGTAGGAGTCAGGGTGACCTTTGTTGCATTCAATTTACGGTTTGTGGGGGCTGGGAGTCCTCAGCTGTGCTCACCCTCCTTCGCTGCTCAGGTCCCTGGGCACATGCACATCGTGAGACTTGGCCCAGCATCTCCGGGGCCTCCTGCACTGTCTCAGGAGACACTGGCAGCCTCACAGTGACCCGTGTTGTGAAATGACCACATTCCAAGCAGTTTACTCTGTATTTTCTCCTGAGCGCTTGTGGGCAGTGAGATGTGGCTGCCCGCTGTGCTCTCTCTGGCCCAGAGGGCTTTTGTGGGTAGTGATGGCTGAAGCTGGCCCAGCTCCTCTCCACAGGGCAGCCTGTGAATGGTCATAGAAAAACCAAAGCTCTTCTTCCAAGATCCCTCATCAGAATGACAGGCTATTTCTCCTCTGTCTCTCAGTGGTATGAGTGGGCACCTAGATAATAGTACAGCTCTTTAGCCCACATAACGTGGCATATGGTATCTAATGACCAACGAATTTATCAAACACCTCACGACATAGTCGCACGAGCATGTGCTGATATACAAATGTTTGTTTTTGGAAATAGCAATTTCGAATTAGATAACTTGGATGCCACTCCCGACCCTCTCAAGGATCATGGTAAGCAAATCATAGTCCACTGCATTGACGCTCAGGAAACCAGAGCCATGGTGTCCCAACAATGTGGCCACAGCAGCAGATTTTAGCACAAACTGAAGAAAACACCAATGCAGTCAGGGAACGACAAGATGGACATTAGTGCCTCTGTCGTCAGCCTAACCCAAACCTTCCAGACTCAGCTAAGAGATTTTGCTTCCTATGGTACCGATTTTCCAGCACATTGTACTATCCATTTCAGACTCCTGGGAAGGAAATCTAAAGAATGCTTTGATTGCATTTCTGGTTTGGGGTTATTCTGTGATTGCTTCTCTTACCTGCTGCCGAATTTCTTCCTCCATTTTCACTGGCGAGCCCAATTCTGCAACTTGTCTGACGCCTTCGCTCGCATACCCGCCGTATTCCCACAGCACGTAGTTCTTGGAGTGGGACCCGCCAATGATGGCAGACCAGTGATTGGCCCGGCCTAGGAGAGACAGCAGGGTGAAGGCGTCAGTGGCTGTGGCTGAGACTCAGGCGCTCAAGGCATGGGGAGGAGGTGTGAATGGACAATGACTGAGCCAAAGCCGGCTAGCACCAGTTCAGTGGAGGCCCTGGGCTATTCAGTGATGAGTAAGACAGTCCTTATGAACAAGTAAGTCTTGGGACTATGCAGGCAGGGCAACTGTAGATGCCTGAACAGGACACAGAGGCAGCCCCGAATGACGGCTTCTGTTTGGGAGGGGTTCAGAGAAGGGACAGCTGAGAGAATTTTAAAGACTGATCAGATTTGTAAGACAGAATAGAGAGGAAAGGCTATTTCTGGCAGACTAAGAAACATTAAATAACATTGTGTGTTTGGGGAACCATAAGTAATTTAGCATTGCTATGTCACAAACTGTCAAGGGAAGAGAGAGGAAATAATGCCAGGGAGGTAGGAAGAAGCCTGCTCGTGGATGGCTTTGTTCTAAATACTTCAGGAGTTTGGATGTCATTTGAAAGGGTCTGAAACCACAGAAGGGTTCTGAGTAGGGGAATGACATGATCGCATTTGAATTTCAGATAAATCATCCAGGCAGCAGTGCAGAGAATGCATTAGAGGGAGCAAAATTGGAGTGCAGAGCTGGGGAGGTCAGCAAGGAGCATGAGGTAAAGGGATTGAGTGTGAAATAGGCTTAGCAATTCTGGGGAATGAGCACTGTTGTCTTTAGCTGGCTTTTCTGTACCATCCAGGATGGGGGGTGGGGTGGGCAGGCTGGCCATGTTGAAGGATGGAAAGACAGTTGGCATATGAGGAACTGACCAGTCCACGGTGGTTTGGTGAGGATCATGCAGGATGATGACTGTTGTGGGATGCAGGTGGGAATTAATGGTTGACACAAGAGAACAGAAGAGGGTTTGGGTGGGACCAAAAAAGATCTTAGCCTGAAGATTTTTTAAAGTCCCAGGGAGAGGAATAGAGTCAACACCAGTCTGACACTGGGTTTGTTTTGCCCGTGATGAATATAGACACATATATATTTCTAAGCTATGTACAATTCATCATAGGGTTGGCTTAGTTCTCTGCAATTCCTTGGTTGGGTTTATAAAGACTCAAGATAAAGAACATTTTCAGACATAGGGAAGAGGAAAACTTGAACAGGGTGGACTCAACTGACATTTGCAGTTCACCACCCTGTGGCCCAGAGTGGGCAGAACTCTCCACTCCACCCCAGACTTCAGGAAATGATTCTCACCGGGGCCTGATCCTGTTTATATTTGCCACCTGCTCTCCCATGGTCCCTGCTCCCAGGGGCACATTAAGAGCATGGGCACAAAGCCAGCCTTCTGGCCTGCGGAGGGCAGCCTTGCCCCACCCCAGACAGATGACAACACCATGTGCGGCTGCCCAACTGCTTGTTCAAGATTTCCCACACATCAGGGAAATGCAAACTTGTGTTTTTCTGTCAGGTCCCTAGAGAAGACAGATGGAGATGCTGCCAGCTATTTCTCTATCTCTCTTCCTGAGTGGGGAGAATGTCCTAGCTGACATCTAATGCAAAAGCACTGCTTGTGTAAGAGCAAGAGCTAGGAACTAGTGCTAGCCTTTGGTTCATAATGTTGATCTCAGGGAGACCAGATTCAGCATCTCTTGATTCCCCCTGCTCTGTTTCACCAAAGTGCTCCCTCGTCCCAGACCCACTCTACCTGCAATTTTGTACCTTACACATGCTGTTCCCTCTGTGCTTCCTTCCTCTTGGCTTGGCCAATTCATTCCTCCTTCATGATTTACCCAGAAGCCCCCTAAGACCACCCTAGACTGAATAAGGCCCTTGTCTTCAGTCTCCTCATAGCACAGATCACATTTATAATCACTGTTACATGTCTGTTTTCTCACTGGACTGTAAGATCCCTGATGGAGCCTGCCTTCAGCACTGTATCTCCGGTACCTAGCACTGTGCCTGATGCATTGTGAGTGCTTAGTACACATTTCCTAAAGCATTTCATCCAAACAATCCAACGGGAAGGTGGCAGTGTCTGTGAAGGAGCATTTGAGAGCAGGCTTGTACAGATGGGATTCAATGTGATTAAATTCAAGTCTCAGTTCAGCAGAGTTCCTGACACCTATGGGGCTAATGCACTCAGCTATCCTGCATGCTGTTAAGAAACAAACACCAACCAACAACAGACGAGAAAGGCATTTGTCTTAGAGCCAACAGACAGGGATTCAAATCCTGGCAATGCTACTTTCTAGCTGTGAAAACTTGGTCAGATTCCAATTACTTTATCTCCCTGAGTCTCAGCTCCCTCTTCTGTAACTCAAGAATGATAATACCTTATCAACCAATTACAAGAATTAAAGTCAACTTCTGAAAAAATGAGATCACATATGTACAAGCACTATTGGCAACACAATAGATGCTCAATAATTATAGTTTCCTCCTTTCCTGGTTGTTAGGGAGACTATAAAAATGGGTAAAACATGAAACCTGCCTTTGATGCATATGGGAGATAAGAAATAGATAACATGGAACAGGATAAGAGAGTAGGAACAAGCACACTCATGGGGGATTAGGAGATGGGCCCAGATGGGTCTTTCTGGTTTATTTATTCAACTTCCATTAAGTCTGTGCCAAGCGCAGTGGCTGGCTGTGGACACCGACAGGAATTAGATGTGGTGCTTGCTCTGGAGGGATTCACAGTCTAGGGGCGGAAAAACAGATGGATAAGCAGATTACTTACCATTAAGCATGGTCAGGGTTATTACAGAAACAAGAACACAGAGCACAGGGGATGGAGCAGCTAACTCCGAATTCCCCTACCATCCAAGGATTCAGTCTAAAGGCACATGTGCAGAGAAGCAGGTGCCTCAAGAGTGGGATGCCTCTGTGGCTTCTTCCCCTTGAGTAAATGTCACTGTACCAGTTCAACCTTCTTGTCAATACGATTGTAAGTTTTCTACAATTTTCTTGCAATGTACCACATTAATTGATATTTCAATATAATGAATAATATCAACCACATAACAGATATCTTCAGGGCACTAGGCTAGGGTGAGGGACCAGACTATACCCTCCCTGGTGGGACAAGGCAAGTGCTGATGGGAAAACAATTTGCAACATTAGAAAGGGCAATGATTTCAGGTGAGGGGCAGAACGATACAGGGAGGAAAAGCACGATGACAGAGCCAGAAGACCTGAGCTCCAAGTCTCCATTTGTGGCCACGAAAGTCTTTCAATCTCTCAGGGCCTCAGCTTACCTTTTTAAAAAAACCTTATTTTTCAACCAGTTTACATTCAATACCATTCTGCAAAAGTTTCAGACGTACAGCAAAGTGGCCAGAAAACCATGCACTCTACAGAGTGGTCCCTCCGCTGCCCCAAGCAGCCACCTGGTCCCATGCCCAGCTGTCTCGACATTACTGACTATACTCCCCATTCCTCAACCCACAGCCCTGTGGTTATTCTGCAACTACCAATTTGCACTGAAAAAATTAGAGAATAATTACTGGGCTTGATTATCTCTCCGAGTTGTGCAAAGTAATTGGGCCGGTTTTGGAAAGAACTATGAAAACTTTAAAACAAAGGTCTCTGAATGGTTACAGACAGAAAGCACTATGGGAATCCACAAGGGGGATCCAGAAGAAGGTGGGGGAGCTAGGAAACTTTCCCACTGGAAGGAGGCTCCTATAGGAAGACTGGGCAGTAGGAAAGGATTCTATTAAAAAACAGGTAAGAGGATTAAACATCTAGTAGGTGTTAGGTATAATGCTTTCCTAGGTGGAACCCTCACTACAACCTCATTCTCATCTTCTAGATGAGGACACTGAGGCCCCCAGAGATGTTAAGGAACCTACCCAAGCTCACAGAGGTAGTGATGGGCAAAGCTTGGGTTCAAATCTAGGTCTGCCTGATCCCAGAAGACACACTCTTGTCCCTACATCCTACTGAGAGGTCAGGAACCAGAGAAGACCATTTGGTGGACTGAAGGCTTAGAAAAGACAAAGAAATAAGATAAAAAAGAAAGTCAGGGCCAGGTTGTAGAGGATGCTGAGTGCCCATCCTGGTAAATGGCATTGGCAAAAGGGGAAAACACGATGAAAGTGTCCTTCTGGGAAGAATGACAATAGCCACATATTGAGCTGATACTATGTTCTAGACACTGCCAAGGACTTGACCAACATTATCACATTAAACACTCAAAAAAGAAAACCATTTTGATACAGATGCAATCACAATGTTCATTTTTCAGATGAGGAAACTTAGACTGAGAGGCATTGAGTTAATCCTCAATCACAGAAACAGATGAGTGAAGATGCTGGGATTGAGCTGGGTCTGTCTGGTGCCAGAGCCTAGCTCTTCTCCACCACACTGCACCACATCAGGACATACTCTAGAGGGCCCAAGGGTGAGAGGAGACCAAACAGGAGACCCATCGACATTTCCTGCATGAGTTGTGTATGTTCTGACTTAGGGCAGAAGAGAGAAAATGGGGACACAGGATCAGAGATATGAGCTAATAAGAGGGAAGATGGGACAGTCCTTGGGAGGCAGTTTAGTGAAATAGTTAAAATTCTGATTTTTGAATCAAACTAGCATGTACTCTAGTCTCAGTTCTGAAACTTTCTAGATTGAGTAAGTCAATTAATCACTCTCAACCTCAGTTTCTTCTGTAAAGTAGAAATATTGACATGACCACCGACCGTTCTGGTGGTGTTTTGAGGCTGGAGTAATAACTAGTGGTGGCACATAAAATAGGCCTGATGCTAATAAACGTTAGTCTATCAAATTAAATTGGAATAAGACAGGGCAAACCCAAACAAGTTTCTGGAAGGCATGGGAACCAAAGGAATCTGGTTGGGTGATTGGGTGGCAGTTTAACTTAGAACTGGTGGGTAGAGAAGAAATGTCAGATGTAAGAACTTGAATATGAAAAAATGGTAGAGAGTTGTCTAAATGTGACTCAGTGGTGTGGGGCCAGCAGAGTGTGGTGGTTAAGCAGAATCCA